AACTGACGATTCCAACAAGATCATATGAAGACAATCCATCTTTATCGAGAATGATGATTTCAAGNCCTTTTGTCGTACAACACCAGATCTAAGAACAAGTTGATCATGGCTGGCCAAGAATTAGATGCAAGTGTTATTGATCTGTCCAGAGAGGGGGAAGAGTCTGAGGTTAATCTGAAAGAGGATGTATAAGTTGAAACATCAGATGGCCGAAATGTACTACTTAAAATATTACTTGTCTCTACCCAAGATCCCATCATCACAATTTCATTTTTATCTGAATTGCAAAGTAAGTAGGCTTCTAAATGCGATATTCATGATATCACAAGCCGACTCCGACATCATCATTATTACAATAAATTTCCCATATAAGAATTGGGAGGAGAATTTTTGAGAGGTCTGCAATGAACTGCAATAGAACTGATTTTTTAGTGTTAATGTACAGTTTAGGGATCTATGACAAAATTATCTTTAAATTTCGATTGTTCAATAATTGCTCTCAAAGTTTAATACTACTTAACTATGGGTTAAGTTTACAAATGACCTAAAAAGGAATTGTTCTTGAACTTTTGACTTTTGGTATAAACCAATAGACAAAACTTCAAGTTTAACAAATATTGTTCAATGTACAACATTTTTTACTGTTGACCTTGAAGGTTTGCTCATTGGTCATGTGACATGCCCCAAAGACCAAAAGTTAAAGACCATTCCCTTACGGCGTCCTATTTTTGCCATTTTCTGATCCACAAAGGCGCAAAATGAATAATAATTTTGGACGTATTATTTTACTTCCTATAGCAAAGCTTTACACCCTATTTATTATAAATAAAAACCCTTTTAAATTATTATTTTCTATAGCTACCTTTTAGATTTTATAGCAAAATATGTATTTATGGTCNATCTATGAAAGCGCTAAGTATAGATGGGAATTTTAAGTCTGTCGAATATAGACACAAATATATCGGATCTTAAGTTTGGAGAAACAATTCAAGTAGAATTTGGTTTCATATGAAAGACAAGTAGTTTTGGACCTGCAGTTTCAAACACTTGAAAGTATAAAGTCAATGGTATGTGCAATCAGTTTTCGATATCATATATGTCTAGCATGACATGAAAACTTGATATGCATCTAAAGTCTATTTATTTGGCTTATATGACTTAACAATCCCTGAAGGATTTAAATTGCTTAAAGCATATAGAATTCATGGTCATGAAGTACTACATCCTCAATGCAATTTGTGCATAAATGTATCTTGCTATAACTATATGCATGATAATATGATAGCAAGAGTTTTCACCTCTATGTGAAGATATTGAACTGACGATTCCAACAAGATCATATGAAGACAATCCATCTTTATCGAGAATGATGATTTCAAGGTGCAATATATCCATTCAAGTTAATATGGCTGATTTGTTCATCAAATCTCTACCAAAGATATTTTGAAGATGGTGCACAAGATTGGAATGCAAATGCTCAAGGATGTGAATTGATGCTCTCATCAAGGGGAGTTAATACGCGTTGTACTCTTTTTCCCTTACAAGGTTTTGTCTCACTGGGTTTTCCTTGCAAGGTTTTTAACGAGGCAACCAAAAGGCGTATTGTTAGATATGTGTACTCTTTTTCCTTCTCTAGATTTTTTTTTCCCACTGGGTTTTATTTTAGTTAAGGTTTTAACGAGGCACATTATCTGTTGAATAGACATTCAAGGGGGAGTGTTATAAATAGAATTTTATTTATGGTGAATGTCTATAGTTAGAGAGATTCTAGGGTTCATTGCTTGGTGGCTAAGTCACCCTCTCCCTATAAATAGAGGGTTCGATTCCATTGTAATTCGTTCCAAAAATCAATAAGAATTCTCTCTCTCTACTTTTCTCTGCAATACTCTTCTTCTTCTTTTATTGTTTCGTAACAAAATCTCTTTTATATATGTATTTATTGTGTGTAAGCAAGAGTAACTAAGAATATATCTTTTTCAAATCTTAATTGCTTTTTTATAAAGTAAAGTTTAAAGAAGAACTTATTAAAAATTTGTATATGAAATAACATAGTAAAAATAAATTATTAACTATAAAGTAAAATAAGGTAAAACGCGGAGTGACTCTGATAAAAATATTATTTATATATAAAACAACTCAGGATTTATCAAAAGATTATGTACTACATCCATTTTAATTTATATAAGGTAGTTTGCAGTAACTTTCTCTAAACCAAAATGAAGCCACACTTATACAACTATGTTCAAAGGGAGGCAAGAAGCAAAGATTTTAAAAAGGAAGTAGAAGTTCTAAAGTGAGAAACCAAATACTAACAAGTGTTTTGCTATACGTTAGATGTTGAATTCACTTAGCTTCCGCATTTATTTTTTTATTTTTTGAAATGTCTTGATAAAAAAACTGCTTCCACCACTAGTTTACACCCCTGGCGTTGCACACTTAGCAAAATCTTCTTGGTAGTTTAAAGTTCTGCTTCCACGACCTGAGGCGTTAACTTACCTATTAAAATATTACTTGTCTCTACCCAAGATCCCATCATCACAATTTCATTTTTATCTGAATTGCAAAGTAAGTAGGCTTCTAAATGCGATATTCATGATATCACAAGCCGACTCCGACATCATCATTATTACAATAAATTTCCCATATAAGAATTGGGAGGAGAATTTTTGAGAGGTCTGCAATGAACTGCAATAGAACTGATTTTTTAGTGTTAATGTACAGTTTAGGGATCTATGACAAAATTATCTTTAAATTTCGATTGTTCAATAATTGCTCTCAAAGTTTAATACTACTTAACTATGGGTTAAGTTTACAAATGACCTAAAAAGGAATTGTTCTTGAACTTTTGACTTTTGGTATAAACCAATAGACAAAACTTCAAGTTTAACAAATATTGTTCAATGTACAACATTTTTTACTGTTGACCTTGAAGGTTTGCTCATTGGTCATGTGACATGCCCCAAAGACCAAAAGTTAAAGACCATTCCCTTACGGCGTCCTATTTTTGCCATTTTCTGATCCACAAAGGCGCAAAATGAATAATAATTTTGGACGTATTATTTTACTTCCTATAGCAAAGCTTTACACCCTATTTATTATAAATAAAAACCCTTTTAAATTATTATTTTCTATAGCTACCTTTTAGATTTTATAGCAAAATATGTATTTATGGTCATTTCTTACCATTAAGCCATTAAATACGCTGTCTAATATTTTTCTCTCTCATTCTTTCAGTTTATTCTCTCACAAAATAACCGCATAATATCTTATTTCTCTCTCCACGATCTCTCTCCTTTCTCTAGGCGACATGGAGATCTAGCAGCTGCCATGGCCGTTTTCAATATTTTTTTGCTCCAAAATTCTCTGCCCGTCTCTCTTCTTTATCAGCGTCATTGTCTCCTCAATTTTCAATATTTTTGCTCCAAAAAGTTGTGTAAGTGTTAAAGTTTTTGGGTTTTTGATCGGTTAAAGCTTCTTCTCTTCAACAGTTTTTTATTTATTTTAAATATTCACTATTGTTAGGTTTTCTACAGAATAACCTCTAAAGCACTCAATTTTGAAGGGCCGTCTTTCGATACTATAAAAGCTTTGTTAGGTTTTCTGCAGAATATCCACTAAAGCACACAATTTCAAAGGGCCACCTTTCGATTTGCAAATCACTCAAGAGGAACCTGTATTTGCAGGTTAATCAGCAACCATTGAAGTCGAAAGGAGAACAAAAATATGCAGTGACCCTAATTGTATATGTAAATGTATTCAAGTCAGAATACATTGATTTTTAGTTCGTACAGTGGTTTTCTCTTCTTGTATTTAGATGTATTTATATGTATTCGATAAGGCATACACTGATTTTATTTTGTACAGTAATTTTTGACTGTTGTATTTAGATGTATTTATATGTATTTGAGTTCATAAAACAACATTTTTAAATACATTGTTAGTTCTAGCATTTTGATGTTATTCATCAATTAGTTATGCATTCAATCTAACTGTATTCATCTGTATTTTTAACCTAACTGTATCCATTTGTATTTAAAACAACAATACAGTAAAATACTCTCAATACAAATAGAAAATCAATGAATATAACCAATGAAATATACTCAATAAAGCAGTAATACCATGTATTAGGAATAAATAAAATATTGTGAATACAAAATAAACTTGAATACATTGAACACAACTGTTAGATACGACAGAATACAAGCACTAGGTTTATTATGAAATATGCGGGCAGTAGGTTACTATTACAGGTTGTATCCGGCATAAATACATTATGTATTCATATACAGAAAATTGAATACAAACACTAGGTTTATTGTGAACCTCAAACAATGTCAGAAAAAGAAAAGCTCGAATTGTATCCAAAAAAAAGAGGGACCGAAATTCTGAATAATGCTCTATTTTTTGGTGTTTAGCGTCTGATAAATCTCCTCATTAATTGGATTGATAATGCTGCGTGTTATAATAGATTTAGGTGAGTTATATTAGGAGTGTATCCCATTAAATTAGCAGCTTTCCGTTATTAAACAATTAGAGTAACCTATTATTAGGTTATATTCATGAATACATGGTATGAATACACGTGAATACATCGGCTGACTGCTGGACTACCTTATTTTTTAGCCGATTTTTGCTATTGTATTCATGATTACAGTAGCTCGAATACATCGAATACATTACCTTAACAACTGAAAGGTAGCTATAAAAAATAATTATATACGTGGTAGCTAAACAATAGTCATTTCTGAAAATTCCTCTTATTTGTTTGATAAAGTCCTTTTTTAGGCCTCTTTAAAATTTCTTGCAGACAAATTTACTCCATTGAACTAGCGGAAGACATAATTTAAAATAATAGCCTCAAGAAAGGCCATTTGTGCAAATGACCCATTTAGGACGGGCAAGTAACAGGCACTGCTAAGGAGTCCATAATTAAGCCCGAAATTACCATGGGCTACTTATATGAGGAGCCCATAATCGAAAAGATCCCAGTAAAAACCCTAACCATATAAAAATGGTGTCGTCTTCCCTCATTTTCAAGGGTTTCTGGACGCCATTAGAAGCAAAGGTGGTTTCTACTGCAGCTCTGTCCTTACTTGAAGTCAGCCTCCAACCATGGTAACTCTCTCTGTCTCTCTCTCTCTCTCTCTCTGTCTCTCTCTGTCTCTCTCTTGCTGCTTCTGTGAGTGTTTAAGCTTTAGTATTTGAAGTGAGAAAATGAAATGTTCATAAATACTTGTTAGTTTAAAACTGTGCTCATTGTTATTGCTGATTTGTTATTCAAACAGTTAATTGTCTACACTTTTGCAAACAAGGAAAAGTAGTTCCAGTAAAATTAGTCGTTTATCAGATTTATTATTGGTCCCGACGTGCCTATCTAGATACATGTCACTTCCGCTGTGATAGAGCAGAACATGTATAGCCCATTCGGGCTAACTTGGAGTTGGTCTTCGTCAGTATATAAATTTGATGTATTTTGCGGAGTTGTTTCTCGAAGTGTTACTAGAAGCTCATACTTTCGAAAAAGGTGTAATTAACGTCACTTGTCTCGATTCCTCTGAATGCATTCATTGCGATGCACTCACCTAGGCATGCTTTGTTTTCACCTGGTAGAGCAGCATTGGATCGCATGATTTTGAGCTAGAAGCGGATACATGATTTGAAGTTATGGGCTCCTAGAGTAACTTTAAGTTAATATACAATAATAACTGGGTTCACAATCATATATTTATAGATTCCTACTGTAACCTTATAACTGAGTTCACAGTCAAATATATATATATATATATATATATATATAGGTATTTTGTGAATTTTCTAATATATGTAGGGTCAGGTCAAACGCTACGTGAACCCATCTGTTACACGCTAGATCTGCCTCTGTTTTGAGCAATATTAATTTGGAGTTGAGGCTTAGGTTGGTGTATAGTATAGTATTGACATATGGACTATCATGGACTTTGATACTTTAAAAGTTCAAAATGTCTATTGATTCAACGTTTAGAATGCAACTTTTGGATTGTTACTAAGGCTAGCTTATTCCCTTATACTTGCCATTAAGTTGCAATATGCTGAAAGGTGCTTATTTATGCATTATTTGGAAGGGTTTTCAGCCTATGCTCTTTGGTTTAGGAAATCTAAGAATTCAAAGGGTGTTGAAGCTTTTAGGTTGAACTTATTTATATACTAAATTTCTGCTTAATTTTAGTATCAATGGTGTTCTAAATTTAGGCTGATTCTGGGGGATCAAGGAAAGTTTAATTAACGACACCTCAAACTTAGCAGGGCTTTTTTAGTTGTTTCCAGAATAGAACATCAATTCGTTAATGACCTCTATTTGACTTGATTCTTTCCCGATCTGATACAGATATATTCAGAATTTAGGTTGTACTGCACTTTAAACAAAAGTACGACATTTTAATACTATTGCCTATGTACAGGGTATAATCTCTTTTGCATTTTGTTTGAGGATGTTATGCTTCTTGTTAATTATATGGCTTGCATAAGCTTAATTGTATTGGTTTCATATTGTGGATGACACACCTCATTCTATTTGCATGATTTTAATGTATGATACATATTTATTTTCGCTCGGCCAAACACATTATCTCAATAATCCTTTCTGGTTTCATGTTTGTTTGAATAATAGGTTGTTTGTGTAGAAATATGATATCGTAACCTCGTCTTTATTAAGAAAAAGACACTGTAACCTGGCCTTAGGAATACACCATAAGTGATTTAAGTAACAAGCAATCTGCTGTTACCTGGTTAGGCGTGATTACCCACTCCTAGTCCTATGAAAATTCTTCAATGAAGCATAACAAACTATAGCAATAAAACATTGACCTGAAAGATCTAAAAACAGGAAGCTTATCCACAGAAAAAAAGAAAAAGAAACAGAAAAAGAAAGATCTAAAATATCAGAAGGTGGTGAAAGTTTTAAAGTACATAATAGAATCCTGGAAATCAAATACTGCATCTATTATTTGATGTTTACTATTAAAGGCTGAACCTAGTGAAATCCTAACAGCAAATAAAGGGCTAAGTTTGGACTCGCTTGACTTATTGCCAGGCAAGAGAAGAGTAGAGGAATAATGTAAAACCTAAAGAAGGAAAGTAGAGCCACTGCATGAAATAACATTTAACCCTAACTATTTTTTTATGCTTTGGTGCTCCAGTCTTAATATCCAGAGCCAAGAAATGTCTTTGTCTGCATAGTGATCAGACAAAAACTTAATGTCATGGACCACATACCATAATAAAAGAGTCAGAGCTGCTCTGTTAGCACCTGCAACAGTAAAGCTTTTGTAAAGCACTTGGTAGTAAGACCTGTGATAGTGTGTACCAGGGCCTTTCTGTGAGGACACATATATACAGGATTATTAATTTCATGGAAAACATATTTCTGTTTTGCATGTTTCTTCTTTCTACAATGGGTTTATAAGCTTTTCTTGTGGTATGAAAGTATATTTTTCCTCTGATTTGTGGATGAGCACTCAAAAGGTCACTCCAGTAATGAACTTCTTTTACTTGAGCACCAATTTCTACTTACATTATTTCATTGAGTTGATGCGGCATCTCTGGGAGATACATAGATATAGAATGGAAGCTGCAGCTCTGTGAGATGTGTTAAAACTATTGCTGCATTTTAATTATTTACAGAATAAAGTCTCAACTATCCTATACCTATGCTGCATGGTGTGCAGTTCCTGTTGATTCAATGAGTTGCACTGAGTTGCTTGTATATGAAAGTTCTCACATGTCTGATACTTAATGCTTGTTTAGTCTGCCATTTCATGGACTAATTTGTCATGTGCCTTCCTCAGTTGATTGATATTTGCTCAGTAACCCAGTTCTAAACTTTTTAGAAGTGCTAGAAGTATTATAAATTAGTTTTGCTGTTCTAATTATTGGGTTGTAAACGATGTGATTCAGTTTTGGAATTCATTGCGTCCTTGCCTCCTTGTGTTTTATATAGGGATGTCAAATGGGCGGGCTGGGCCAATTTTGGGCGGGTCAAAACAAGTTGAGTCAATAATTGGACAGGTCAAATGACCCGCCCAAAAGTTACTTGGGCTAAGATGGGTTGGGTCAAGATGGGCTAAAATTTGGGTCATAGCCCAACCCGCCCAACTCTTGTCAATGTTTAGTTAATATATGTTGTTTTCTTATGAATTGTATAATTATTAAATAAAATATTTTTTCTTTTGTTATGGTCATATACAATTCGCCTCTCTATCCCTCCGGGTAGGGGTAAGGTCTGCGTACACTCTACCGTCCACAGACCCCACCAGTGAGATCCTAATGGGTTGTTTTTGTATAGTCATGTACAACATATCAAACAAAAAAATAAATTTATTTCTAAGATATATTGGCAAAGTTACTCATTGATCAATTTAGGATAAAAAACAACCCAACTTTAAATGGGTTGGGTCAAAATTGGTTGAGTTCAACAAATGGCAGGTCAATAACCCGCCCAACCTTGGGCGGATGATTTGAGCTTGATAGAATTCTATTTACTTCATCTGAGAAAGAGTTGCTATAAAAGTCAATATAATTTAGAAGTGCAAGGGCAGATTCCATTAGCTTATGCCATCAAGAGTATCTTAGTTAAATACTGTAAATAATAATAATGAATGCAGTCAACTTTAGAATTCAGCCTCTCGATTAGCCTCTTCAATTGTTGTTGAGCGACTAAAGACCCTTCTATTCCCAAGTGCAATGAATTAGGTAGGACTCGTCCTACATCATTGGTGGAAAAAGAACTAGTAAATCCATTATTTGTGGTACCCCTAGAAACCTTTTTCCTTGTATTGTGTTGGTATTAAATAAAAGCTAAAGCACTTATCTTAAAAGAATGTCTCGAGTTCCATCTTTTTTTTTTCTCAAGTTAAGCCAGCTTTTTTCTGAAAAAGATTGTAGTAATTATGGTCGACACTATTTGGAATGGCTCTCTCATATTGAGAAATTCTGTCTAGTGGCATTTGCATACTCTAGATCACAGTTCCTGGATCCAATATATTCATTTCTGTTGTGGTCTGTTTGTATTTGGCCTGTGATCTGCATATTAATGTAGCTATAACATTTCCACATGGGTACCAGTTCCGTAAGTTAACTGATGTTGCATAAGCAATGAGATTAAATTTCTTTAAACTTGTACTTGCAGGTGAACGTTCCAAAAACTAAGAAGACATACTGCAAGTCGAAGGAGTGCAAAAAGCACACACTGCATAAAGTTACACAGTACAAGAAAGGAAAAGATAGCCTAGCAGCTCAAGGCAAGCGTCGGTATGATCGCAAGCAGTCTGGTTATGGTGGGCAGACGAAACCCGTCTTCCACAAGAAGGTAGAAGAGATTTCACGTTAACATTTGTTAAAACTAATTCTGGTCAATAATAATCTTTTTCCTTGGTATTCATCTCATAAATCGATATTCCTCTAAAACTAGGCCAAAACTACCAAGAAGATTGTGCTAAGGTTGCAATGCCAGGGTTGCAAACATGTGTCCCAGCACCCAATCAAGGTTTGTTATGGTTCTCAATCTTCCTTTTCATCATTGTAATAGCTGATACCTGAGATTCTATGTTGATACCGACTTTGCAGAGGTGCAAGCACTTTGAGATTGGTGGAGATAAGAAGGGAAAGGGAACTTCTCTCTTTTAAGTGGCGCATTCACGGAGATGAAATTGTTTATTTTTGTGTCGTGGTGGACTTTTTTATCACCTGTAGCTCAACAATGTTTCTTTTGCTTATTGAACAATGTATGTCTATGGCAGAATACTTGTATTTCGAGTTTTAAATTGACAATATCTGTCTTTTTTCCACATCATTTTCAACGCGATTTGTATAAATGAGATGCCGTGATATTGTCCTCGTTAGCGGGTAAGTGCACATATAGTCATTCTCAGGGATGCAATTTAGAGATTAGCTAGTGTTTGTTTTTGTCTTGAAATTTTAAACTAAAAATTCGAATTTCAAGACAACTCAGTACATTTATGTCCTAGAAAATTGAATTGAAAAGCTGAATTTCAGCATGGCTAATTCGTACATAGAGCCTTTTAGAGTGGCTACCTGTAGGAGTGGCAAACAGGTGGGTCGGGTCGGATATGGTTCGGGTCGAAAATGGATAATGAAAAAACGGATCAATTATCCGACTCGATCCATATTTAATACCAATAAAAAATTGGTTAATCGGTGGATAATATGGGTTACCCATATTATTCATGACTTTTTGTACATGATCACTTTTGGGAGAATTCTTAGTCTCCCTAACTTGAGGAATCCCCAATTTGAGGCTTTACAAATGTATAAGTTAGACCCATTGGTTATCCATTGGTTACTCTTTGGTTATCCATTTTCTAAATGGATAATATGGTTCTTATCCATATTTGACCCGTTTTTAAAAAGTTCATTATCCAACCCATTTTTTGGTGGATAATATGGGTGGTTAACTGTTTTCTTTTAACCATTTTGCCACCCCTAGCTACCTGTGTCATTTCTAATCAAAAGTTGGAGCACAACTACTAATATTGTCCTCGTTTGAGTGCGGTGATAGTTTACTAGGTGGGTGAACTATCACCGTTAGGCGCTATTAGTAGTTGTGCTCCAACTTTTGAGTACAAATGATACTAGGTAGTCACTTTAAAGGGCTGTTATTTAAGAATTAGCCAGTACGTCCTGAATTTTAGCTTTTTGAGCTTAATTTTTTATGACAAAATAAATAGCTAATCCATTAATTGCGTCCTGAGAATGGTGCACTTGCATATCTTCTGACTTGCTATAGAATTTCGTTGGTAATTTTTCCAATGAAATTTCTTCACTATGTAGAGCGATTAGACAAGTTGGTCAATTTGATTCTTTCATTGTTTCCTTATTTGGATTATTTCTTCGAGAATTCCATGTATAAGTAGTACTCTTATATTTTCAATTTATTCGAACCCATTTGGAGTTTAAAAAAGAAAAGAATATATTTGAAATTTGTGGTCTTAAATTATAAAGTTTTTGAAATTTGTTATTTTAAATATGCAATAATATTTGTTTGGATGCAAAAAGTTTCTCATTAAGGGTGTTTTTGTTTGAAGGTTTTCAATTTTTCCAGGTTTGATTGGTTAAATGTTTAGCAAAATTTGTTTTACTGGAAAAACATCTTTCTTAAGAATCAGGATAATGACGGTGGGAGTTGGAAAAACGAGTTCCTTAAATGGCATTCCAAGCTAATTGTTTCCTTTCCACTTTTAACCCCATCAACCTTGTTTCCTTTCCACTCCTAACCCCCTCAACCTCCAACCACCTCATACCCCCGACCAACCTCACACTCCCACTAGATTGTATATAAATGTTTTTGTGATAGTATATTGTGTTTACTTGCCCCACACAAGAAAATAAGTAAAAAATTATTTAATTTTTAGAAAAATATGATGAAATTTATTTTTCCTAGTACCAAACATACCATAAGGTAAATGAAACATTTAAGTTTTTTTTTTTCAAATTTAAATAGAAATAGACAGAGCCGGACAGACCCTAAAGCACTTGCTTTAGGCCCCCAGAATTTAAGGTCCCAAAATTACTATTTCTCTATATATAGTATAGTATTTCTCCGTTCACTTTTACTTGTCCACTATACCAAAAATACATTTTCACTTTTACTTGTCCACATACTAAATCAAGAGAAAGACAATCCTTTTTTTCTTCTTCATGTTTTACCCTTATCATTAATTGCTCATTTTCAAAATTATTTCTCATGACTTTTTGAAATGCTATCATTATTAGGGATTGTATGGTAAAATACATGTTACAATTATTATTTCTTAAGGGACGTGAAAAGTCCAAAGTGGACAAGTAAAAATGAATGGAGGGAGTATAAATTATATAATTATTTCTTATTGTTGATAAATTATTTCTTTGTTTTCATATTAGTGTTTAATAACTTAGTTTCTTCCTCTAATTAATATAGCCAAAATAGTTTTATGCCAATCTTATTTTACGTATTTACTGAATTATTTTTTCTCTGTTTATTAATTAGTCACATAACCATATCTAATAATCTAATTTATCATTTATTTTCCTCCTATAAATTACAATCTCCCCGTCCCAATTTATATGCAGGTGTTTGACTGAACATGAAGTTTATTAAATAAAGGAAGACTTTTGAAACTTGTGATCTAAAACAAACCATAAGAACTTGTATGACTAGAAATCATCTCATTAATGATAAAAAAATTAAAGTTGGATAATTACAAAATATAAAAAGGGGACTGACTAAAAAAAAGTTGTCGCATAAGTTGGTATGGAGGAAATATATTTTCTGGGTTCTCTCATCTCAATTGCGATGCAATCAACGTTTAGTTCATTTAATTTCTTGTACTCTATAAAACGAGGTTCTCGTTCTTTTTTTCATTTTACAAACTCATCTGATTTTCCAAACAACGATGCTCATTATAATAAGGCATCTTATTAAGGCTTTGCTTTAGGCCTCGGATAATATCGAACCGCCCCTGAAAATAGACTAGAAAAGAAATATAATCACATAAACTCGGACTAAAAAGAAAAGACAGAATACATTGGCAACCCCTTTAACTTATTTTCACTTTCCACTTTAACACTTATTCTTAAGATCATTCCATATAAATACTCCAACCAACCCTTTAATGTGTCATTCAGACACTAAAATTTTGGGCATCCAAACACAATAGATGTGTGTAATTCACACGCCAGAATAACTAATAAGAAAGAGACACGTAGATTTAACTTCAAAAGGAAAGTTTTGAAAAAAGAAAAAAGTTAAAAGGAAAAGAAGCCCCCGTCATCTTCCCGACCCCCCAAACAGTTTCTACACCACGGGGGAGTGTTTCTTGTTGGGATATATACTATTAATCATGGATTTGGTTTAGATATAGTATTTATTATAATAATATTGTTCATTCAATTTTAATAAAGTTTTAATAGACCATATATTAGTCGGTGTCCTTTGCTTATATAGTAGATGATTTAGTGTATAGAGTTTAGCTTATACACGGAAGATTAAATCATCGGTTCTTATAAGTATAGGATTGTCCTGCATATGTGCTGAAAGGGAAAGCGGAGATGTAAGTTGGAACTAAGAATGGAAGGTGCATGCTTATTGAATATCCAAAAATAAGGCAAATTGACGTTCAAGAACATCAAAACCCACAAGCCGGAATTGACGTTCCATTGCATTTGAGTAGTGGAAGAACGTTAATAGACATAATATGCCTTTATCGAGTGGGAGTGATGTTTGAACAGTGAACACTATAGTAAGAAGTCACTAATATTTCAATGCCGTAAGGTAATGAAGGTAATATTAGTAGTACTTCGTCGTAGTGGGAGAATGCTAAAGAAAATCATAGTTCGGTGTACACTCTTGGGATAGTTTCAGTAACAGGATCCCTGAAGAGTTTAATACCAAACTAGATGGTTACGACAAAGCACTACTGGACAAATATTGCATCAGAAATAACTTGGCAAGATTCTTTAACAAAACTTTATTTGGGGAAGATGTTTAATAGTCATGTAAAAGAATGCCTGAGAAAGTTGTAGATGCATGGTTATGAGTCTAAGTGGGAGATTGTTGGGGTATATACTATTAACCATGCGTTTAGATATAGTATATTCTGACAATTGTCATGGTTAAAAGTCTAAGTGGGAGATTGTTGGGATATATACTATTAACCATGAATTTGGTTTAGATATAGTATTTATTATGATAATATTGTTCATTCAATTTTAATAAAGTTTTAATAGATCATATATTAGTCGGTGTCCTTTGCTTATATAGTAGATGATTTAGTGTATAGAGTTTAGCTTATACACGGAAGATTAAATCATCGGTTCTTATAAGTATAAAGTTTGAGCTCACAATCTAATGATGGAATTGGACAAACCATCAGGAATGATTGTAGCGCAAGATTAAATATAATTTATCTTGATTATGGGAATGGTTTAATTCCAAATTCTTGTGCTAGTACATTTTGTATGTATTGAACGGACCAAGTAGAGATAAGTATTTTATACTGACTTAATAAAATAAACTCTCAAGCCATTAAATGTACTTATACTCTTAATCTTGATATAATTATTATTAGCTGTGTATATTATTATTGTTTTGATTTATTAAAAGGCGAAATTCTTTCTTGGGCCAATATGCCTGGTAAATTGGATAATAATAATGTACATTGGCGAAGTAATAGTTAGTTGATGGAATCCATGTCTCGGTTTAGAGATTGATGATACACCTTTATGAAAGCTTATAAGTTTTCATGTGTAAACCCGGCCGGTGGATTTTGTATCCGACACATGAAATAAGTTAAGCGAAAGTCTAAAGGAAATAATCAATAAATTAAATCGTCAGTAATTTAATTTAATTGATTAGTATCTGAATCTTAACATGAGGAGTTAAATAAGATTTAATGGATGAATTTCGAAATTGAATAAGGAGTGCAATTACGAATTTTTAGTGGAATAATTCGTAATTAATTATGGTGGATATTAATTTCGAAAATTATAAATTAATTCCATAATTGGAAGCCTTGTTAATTAAATTCTGTGGTCCCTGCTGTGCCTAAATAATAGAAAATAAAGGAATCATTTTTCTGGTGGAAAAGAAAACCCAACAGGTTTTGGAAAAGGGTTTTATTCCTTAAAACTTGTGCTATAAATACATAAGGTTTTCCACCTAGAAAGAGAAGCACATGGTGGCCGAATTTCAGCCCCTTTTCCTTAGAAATTTCGCCCACACGAAATTACTATTTTCGGGTATTATTTGGGTAACACAGTAGAAGACCGTGGAACGTTCGGAGATCGTGATCGTGCGGGGTGTGGAGAATTCATTGAGTTGCTGTAGAATTGGAGGCTCACGTGATAAAGGAGTTTGCTCACGCTTCAAGAGGTAACCCGTGAAATCCCGTTTATGCTAGTTGTGTAGATTACATGTGATTTTGATACTGAAATTGCTTCCGCTGCATATATTAATCCATCATTTCTAACCAACCTTCTTCAGGTTTTATCCACTCGGCTGTGAATAATCTGAAAAATAGAGAATTTGGCAAGTTGAGCATACAAGGTGTTCGACAAATTGCCAATTACAATTTCACGACAATTCAACAAGGCTCAGATATTGTACATGCTTTTTCTCATCAAATACAATCCCTCTATATAGTTTTTGAGAAAAAACAGTTGAATCGATTTGAGTAGTTCTTGTTGATATAGGAACTCTAAGTTTTTTCGGCCAAAACGCTACTCTTAATCATGGCTGTTTTTGAGCAAGTCTCGAAATGGAAGCTTGGATCTTAAAAACGAGATAATCATTAAATTCTATGTATTACTCCCTTCGGTCCACCATAAGGGACCAATTTGCTTTTTTATTTTGGTCCAAAATAAGTTTCCATTTATATAATCAAGAAAGAATTCAATTTGTTTTTACAAGATTACCCTTATATACATACCCCTAAAAAATTTTCTTACTCCTTACATTAAATATTTAATTAAGGATAATTTAGTCATACTAGATATTTTTGTATAGAATTTAATATTTTCGGCGTACCAAAGCAAATTGGTGAACCGGAAGGAGTAAAGCATAAGCTTCGATCTTGAAACGGAAGCTTGGCAAAACTTAGAATTACTCCTTTGTGTACATAGTATTAAATCCTACACTAAAAATTTTAAAAAGAAGTTTAGTGGAAAACTTTCTGACAAAAACTATTTATTTTTCGGCAACAAGTATGAGTATTTTTTTTTTGACTATTTCACGCGCTTAAAAAATGTAAGAAATATTGACCTTGACATGTTATTCTTTTGTGAATAGATGACACACTAAAGGGCTGGTTGGAGTGTTTAAATAGAACGCCCTTAAGAATAAGTGTTAAAGTAGAAAGTGAAAACAATTTAAAGGGGCTCACTATGTATTCTCATATAAACTATAATATGTGGGGTCGTTTGTAGAGCTGTCAATATGGGCGGGGCCGGGCTAGCCCAGCCCAGCCCATGTGAGCTTTAGCTATTGACAGGCTGGGTTGGGCTAGCCCACCATTTTGGTGGGCCTTATAATGGTCAGCCCACCCCAGCCTATGTGGGCTGGGCCCCCATGGGCCGGCCAACTATTTTTTAAAATATAATTTTATATTATTTCTTTAAATTCTAACCTAAAAAAGATAAATATTTAAAAGTTAAACAAATCTTATTGTAAAAATTTCACGAAACTTAATAATTTTTTATACTGCCAATATATGATAAACACTAAAAAAGTAAGAGACAAGACTAATATTTCATTCACTAAAAGTCAAAACTCAAAACAAACTATTCAAGAGAACGTCCATGATGCGTACGGGATATCCAACACATCATCTTCAAACACATTTGAATCCGCTTGTGAGATGATTGTCTTAATATCTTCACTTTAACATACATGTACAATTCGTATGCAATATAATTAGCTAAATATTAAGAATAATTAAATTTTAAAATTAATTACCGTTTTAAGACTTTGATCTTTTAATATGATGAGATTAATAAACTTTAAGCTTGGATACTCTTCTTGATATTTTTTGTGTCGTATAATCTTTATATTTTATATGTTTCAAATACATATTTTTATTAGGCCAGCCCAGCCTCAGTCAAGCCTCACGGGCCACGGGCTTACTTGGACCGGGCTTAAAAGCCCCATTTTTAAACGAGCTCTAAAAATTCTAGCCCAGCCCTGCTAAATCACAGGCTGGGCTGGCCTAACGGGCCAAGCCCATATTGACGGCTCTAGTCGTTTGGTATGATGGATAAACAAAAATAATTATGGATAAAAATTTAGCTTCGCTTATTCTTTATTTGGTTACTAATCTTGGAATAAGTTATCCCAAAATTAAAAAATAGTGTCAATATACCTACAATAAAATAAAACAGTAAAATTAACAACTCCAAATTAATAATACATACCCACAATCAATAAAAAATAAAAAGCTCAATAATTAATCCCAACCCAATTAATTCCAATAAAACTCTAATGTACAAGTAAAGAAGTAGGGAGGAAGCCTCGTCAACGGCCGGGGGGGGGGGTGCGCTGATAAAGAATCTAGCAGCAGCCAGCTCGAGCTTTCAACCAGTCGCCCAATTTGAATGAGTTTTTAACAAGTTGGGAATTCGTTGGTAAACCCTTAGATGTCTTTTTATTTATAATAATCTTATATTTGAAGAATTTTGCAACTGATTAGTGCATTTGAGAAAATACGATGTATTAAACCTCCAACTTGTTCGCCGGTAAAGCAATTCTTGATCGAAGGATCGTCAAAAGAGGCAATGCAACAGTAAAGCAGGTATAGTGCAGTGAGCTAATGATTATTTCATCAAATCCCAATTCTCCCCATTCGAAACCCTAATACTAATTAATTTCAGCCCCAAATTCAAACCTGGAGTTCAAGGTTTCAAGATGGGGAATGATTGTCGCATTGGAAGGAGGTGACTAAAGAAATGGAAATCGCCCTTGAAGTTATTGTTAATGCACTTAAGCCCAGTTATATTTAAATTAGAAGTTTTTATTTTGAAACTTCGGTCCCTGTAGTTTTTCGGTTTCTCAAATTTATTGTTTTTAGCATTATTATTGTTTTAGCAAATGATGTGAGCTTTGCATAGAGGGGAGAGAAGTATTATACAGACCACTCATTTGTGATAAAAACTGATCCAACAATTACTCTCTTCTCTCTTCCTTCTTCCTTGTAATCTTTATTCCGTTCTCATTGCCGTGATTCTACTGTAATGTTCAATAGGTAAGGAAAGGGAAAGTGTAAGGTGCCGACAATGAAAAAGGAAAGTGACGATATAAACAAGGAATAGGGTACATCAATATTAAGAAAAGGGGTTGAGTATTACTGGGCTCACGTATTGGGCTTCTCAATGGGCTCATTTATTGGCTTAAGAAGAAAGAGTTTTGGGCCTTTAGGGTCTTTACTCAGTTAGCCCAGTTATTAGTTAGACTAGTAGTTAAATAACAGATTAGGAGGGAAAAGAGGTATCTTTTTGGCATAACTGAATTCTAACTACTTCTCTCTACTTCTCTTCCGCCATTTCTATCTCTTTCTAAGCTCATGTGTAACAGTTGAAGCAGATTGTAACTATTGAATTGTGATCAATAAAGCTTAGTTTCTTTCTCAATTTCATTTCCAAATTAAGTACATTATAAATTGGTATCAGAGCAATTCCTGGCTACAATGACAGTTCCAGAAACTCGTTCGAAGTCTAATGAAGATTATGTGAAGAAATTAGACAATCAGTTACAAAACTACATGGCAGAGACGAATAAAAAATTGGAATCACATGATTCTAAGATTGATGATGTGGGCAGGAAGCTGGATGTGATGATGGACAGGCTTTTCACGGGCAAGGATGGTATATTGGGGAGTGCTCCAGTGGAAGTCAATCACGTTGATGGCTCCAGTATTCGACCTAGATTTGCCGAGCAAAATGAATACTCCATTGGTAGGAAGCAAGGAAATAACCATGGACATAGGTTTGAAATTCCTTACTTCGAAGAAGGTGACTCCAGATCTTGGCTCCGCAAGTGTGAAAGATACTTTCACTTCAATCAGATAACTGACCCTCGGGAGAAATTAGAGGCTGCTGTCCTTCACCTCAATGGAAGGACGGAATCCTGGTATTTCTCTTATCATCAGAGTAGGGGTACTGTGAGATGGCCTGAGTTTGTAGAAGAAATTAGTAAAAGATTTGAGGAATCTGACAATAGCAATCTTAACCTCTTAGGAGAGTTCAAAAGAATTGAGAAACAAGGATCAGTAAATGAGTACCTTGCCAGATTTGAAGATTTGAAGGCTTGGGTCTTGATTAAATACCCCACTATACCTGAAGAATTCTTCCTTGGATTCTTTATTGAAGGACTCAAAGATGAGATTAGGCACACAGTCAAGATGCTTGATCCTTTTTCCTTGAGCCAAACAGTGGAGAAGGCTAGGCACAAAGAAAAGTTGTTAGAAGCAATAGCAAAAAAAGGAAAAGCAAGCATTACTAAGCAGTCAGTACAGTACAGTAATAATAATGGCCAAACAGGAATGAGAACAGCTGGGGTTCAACAGAAGGAAGGGGGATCTACCTCCTACAATGTAGGCAACAAATTGTTTGAGGCAAGAAGAGCAAGGGGTGAATGTTACAAGTGTGGGGAGAAGTACTTCCCTGGCCATCAATGTAAGAATAAACAACTAAATGCATTGTCTGGATCTACTGAACATGAAGAAGTAGAAATGAATGCTGGGGAAGAAGGAGTAGTGGATGAGCAAAATCAAGAGATAGTAATTGATGAGGCCATTAGTCTTAATGCCTTATCTGGAACAGTCACATCTACTACCATCAAGTTGAAAGGGGTGTATGGGAAACAAGTCATGGTGATATTGGCAGACAGTGGTAGCACCCATAGTTTTGTAGCTAGTGAAACTGCAAAACAATTGGGGTGTATGATCCAGGTAGATGCTCCAATGAGAGTTACAACTGCAAATGGGAGTAATTTGATGAGTTATCATTCTTGTCCTCAGTTCAAATGGAAAATGCAGGGTATTGAATTTGAACACAAGCTGAGAATGTTAGACACTGGGGGATGTGATATGGTATTAGGAGTGGATTGGATGAGAAAGCACAATCCTATATTGTTTGATTTCATTGGGTATAGATTGCAGGTAAGTGTGAAAGGAAAGAGAGTAGAATTGAAGGGTTTTTCTGAAGAAGGGAGTTTACAGAGTTTATCAGCTGCAGGGGTGAAGCAGCTGCTCAAGAAGGGTCAACTATTGTGGGCTCATCTCTTTACAATTACTGCTCAACCTACTACAGAAGAAAGAAGCATACCTGGACAAATTAGGAGGCTATTGATTGAATTTTCCGGAGTTTTTGCTGAGCCAAAGTCTCTGCCACCACAGAGGAGTCATGATCACTTCACTCCTCTCAAATCAGATACAGCTCCAGTCAGCATTAGGCCCTACAGGTATAACCATTTCGAAAAGAATGAGTTAGAAAAACAAGTGACTGACATGCTTAATAATGGTATCATTCAGCCTAGTCACTCTCCTTTCTCCTCACCAGTGTTATTTGTTAAAAAAAAGGATGGCAGTTGGAGATTTTGTATATATTACAGAGAATTAAACAAGATGACTGTGAAAGACAAATTTCCTATACCTTTAGTAGATGATCTCATGGATGAATTAAATGGTTCATGCATTTATTCAAAGATTGATTTAAGGGCTGGTTATCATCAGATTAGAATGAAGGAATCTGACATATACAAGACTGCATTTAGGACTCACTTGGGACATTATGAGTTCAAGGTTATGCCATTTGGGTTAACCAATGCACCTGCTACCTTTCAAGGTTTAATGAATCATGTATTCAGGCCTTTCCTTAGGAAATTTGTGCTGGTATTTTTTGATGATATATTAGTGTACAGTTCTTCAATAGAGAGTCATGTTATGCATCTTAGACAGGTATTAGAGGTGTTACAGAAAGAGCAACTGTATGCCAAGTTGTCTAAGTGTGCTTTTGGTCACAGTCAAGTGGAGCATTTGGGGCATATTATTTCAGGTCAAGGGGTAGCTACTGATCCTGCTAAGATTGAGGTCATGCTCAATTGGCCTGTTCCTAAATCTGTTAAGGCCCTTAGAGGTTTTTTGGGTCTCACTGGTTACTACAGAAGGTTTGTCAAGTCTTATGGAATTATCAGCAAACCTCTCACCAATTTACTAAAGAAGAACTCATTCCAGTGGTCTAAAGAGGCTGAAACAGCCTTCAATCAGCTAAAGACAGCCATGTCTTCAGCTCCTGTTTTAGCCTTGGCTGACTTTAATAAGCCATTTATTGTAGAAACTGATGCTTGTTCTACAGGAATGAGGGCTGTATTGATGCAAGAAGGTCGACCAATAGCTTACTTAAGCAAGGCTTTTTCAGCACAGAACAGGGGATTATCAACTTATGAGAAGGAATATATGGCAGTTTTGACTGCAGTAGAGAAATGGAGACACTATTTACAAGGAGGTCATTTTATTGTAAGAACAGATCATCAAAGTCTTAAATTTTTGTTAGAGCAAAAGATTACCACAGCCCTGCAACAAAAAGGGCTAACTAAGCTGCTGGGACTTGATTATGAGGTGCAGTACAAGAAGGGCACTGAAAACAGGGTAGCTGATGCCTTATCAAGAAGACAGGACCAGGAGTCCACCTTATTGGCAATCTCTACTGTTTAACCTACTTGGTTACAAGAGATCAGCCTTAGTTATGAAGAAGATCCTATTTCTTTAGCATTGTTGGGTAAACTATCTACCTCCCCAGGCAGTAATTCAGAGTATTCACTGCAACAAGGGGTCATCAGATATAAGAACAAAATATATGTGGGGAAAGGAACCACACTAAGGAGTAAGATTTTAGAAGCAATGCATCACTCACCTCTTGGTGGTCATTCTGGGCAGCAAGGAACTTATAGAAGGGTACAACTGATTTTCTATTGGCCTAACATGAAGTCTGATAATTTTAAATGGGTGAGTGAATGTGACATTTGTCAGAGGATCAAGTCTGAAAATGTGCACACCCCAGGGTTATTACAACCCCTTCCTATTCCAGAGCAGGTGTGGCAGGATATATCTATGGATTTTGTAGAAGGCTTACCCTTTTCTACAGGAAAGAATGCTGTGTTAGTAGTGGTGGATAGGCTGTCCAAGTATGGACACTTCTTAGCCTTAAAACACCCATTTTCAGCACAAGAAGTGGCAGAACTATTCATGAAGGAGGTGTACAGGTTACATGGGCTTCCCAGATCTATTGTTTCAGACAGGGGATCTGTTTTCACTAGCCATTTTTGGCAGCACTTATTCAAATTGATGGGGACCAAGCTTAATCTGAGTTCAGCCTATCATCCTCAGTCAGATGGGCAAACTGAGAGACTCAATCGGTGTTTGGAGACCTACTTACGAGCTATGGTGTTGGAGAATCCTAAACACTGGGCTAGATGGCTACCACTGGCAGAATGGTGGTATAATACTAACTTTCACACCTCTCTTAAAGTCACTCCCTTTGAAGCCCTTTATGGTCACCCCCCAACCCAACTACCATTGGGAGCTATCCCACATACACATCAGGGCCCAGCTGGGTTGAATATAACCCAACGACAGCACATGCTACAAGCACTGCGTGACAACCTTGTGCAGGCACAGTCACGGATGAAATTTTATGCAGATCGACTCCGTTCTGAACGAGTCTTGGAGGTAGGGGACCAGGTATACCTCAAACTACAGCACTATCGAGAGTCATCTATCGAAGTGAGAAGAAATGTCAAGCTTTGTGCTCGATTCTTTGGTCCTTATAAAATCTTGCAGAAGATTGGTGAAGTGGATTACCGTTTAGAGCTACCACCGGAATCGCGTCTTCACCCCGTCTTTCATGTGTCACAGCTCAAGCGACGTATTGGGCCTTCCATATGCCCTCAGCAGCATCCACCAGCTTGTGACAGTGAGGGTCACATTTTGATTTAGCCAATTGCCATTTTACAGAGACGAATGGTTAAGGAGAACAATGCCGTTGCAGTCAAGATTTTGGTTCAATGGGCAAATTTGCGCAAGGAAGATGCGACTTGGGAGGACTGGGGCTACATCAAAAGACACTTCCCAACGTTTATTGCTCAGCAACGACCTTGAGGACAAGGTCTCTTTCGAAGGGGAAGGTATTGTAATGTTCAGTAGGTAAGGAAAGGGAAAGTGTAAGGTGCCGACAATGAAAAAGGAAAGTGACGATATAAACAAGGAATAGGGTACATCAATATTAAGAAAAGGGGTTGAGTATTACTGGGCTCACGTATTGGGCTTCTCAATGGGCTCATGTATTGGCTTAAGAAGAAAGAGTTTTGGGCCTTTAGGGTCTTTATTCAATTAGCCCAGTTATTAGTTAGACTAGTAGTTAAATAACAGATTAGGAGGGAAAAGGGGTATCTTTTTGGCATAATTGAATTCTAACTACTTCTCTCTACTTTTCTTCTTCTTCTTCTTCTTCTTTCTTCTCTCTTCCGCCATTTCTATCTCTTTCTAAGCTCATGTGTAACAGTTGAAGCAGATTGTAACTATTGAATTGTGATCAATAAAGCTTAGTTTCTTTCTCAATTCCATTTCCAAATTAAGTACATTACATCTACTAAATCTAGCTCACGTGTTACATTAATATACTAATGTTTGAAGTGGAGAGGAATATTTGTTATGATGAAGGGAAAAAGAAAGAAAGAAAAAGACAAAACAAACAACAATCTTGGCATGCCAATTGAAAACATAAATTCCTGATAATAGAAGTATTTGGATCCAACTAACCAGTAGTCGAAGGCTGAACAGTCACTTGCTTAATCAACTCTGATACTGACAAGCATGTCGTCCTTACCAAATCTAGCAGCCAACACAAGCAACAATAATGTTCACCAATCGCAGAGTCCCGGTAAAAAGCTTTTCTTTGTTCCTACATTCTCTGCCGATTACTTCCTCTGTCCCAGTTGAGAATGCATTGGCTATACTTGAACAGGCAGAAGCGAGAAGGATCAGTTGTGGAGATGCTTGCCCTTATACCGTGCATTACTCAGAGGCGACCAACGTGATCTTGAGCTAGGTGCTCGATCTCTGGGGCCCCTATATAAAGCCTGGGATTGTAAGATAACAAGAGCTGGGGACACCACCCTTCATGTAATTGTTGGTGCAGGAAAGTGGTTTGATGATCCGACTGTGGGTCCATCAGCTTACACTTCGCGTAACAATGATGGGCACACACCTCTTTCTGTGGCTGCAATGGTTGGGAACATGGAGGCAGCGAAGAATTTGCTGCAACTCAACCCGGGAATGGGATCTCTTGATGATGCTGTTGGGCCATATCCGATCATAGAGGCTGCTAGGTACGGCCATAAGGAGATGGTTTTACTTTTGATTGGAGATATGGAAAGGAAGTTGGGAGGCTCCCCACCAACTAAACAATCGACTGCTTCCCACTTTCTCCATCTTCTAGTATTGGCTAGATTCTATGGTAATATATTTACTTGTCCTATGATTAATGTAACTGTTTTCTTCATTTATAGATGGTAAACTTTAAACAATTTGAAACAAAATTCTTACAGCTCTGCAAGATCATGAAACATCAGGATTCTAGCAGAGGACTAGTTGCTTTTATTAAACTTCTTTCATATCCGTGAGAAGTAACACCATTATATCATAAATGAGCCATCTATTTTTGATCAATTAGATTTTCGCCCTCAATGTTTACTAAAAGAAAAATATCACAATAATTCAAATAGGATAAGTGCAATCCCACAATAATAATCACATTACCACATGTTACATGAAAGCTAGTGAATGGTTAGAGAAAATGAAAAGTTCAACAATTTTCCTTCTCTCTGACTGATTTGTTCAACATGAATAGGAAGAAGGAAAAAATGAAGTGGAATTGTTTTGATCTTGGGCTTGCAAAATAATTTCAAGATGAAGAGAATGTTAGAATATCATTTCTTCCCTTAGTGAAGAAGCTTTAACAAGTTGGAAAGGCTTTGCTAAATCCTTAAGTGTCTTTTTATTTATAAACTTATATTTAAAGAATTTAGCAACTGATTAAAGCTTATGAGCTCTAATAATTTATGTACTTGGTAGCTCACTTTTTACCAGATTTTATAATGTCTTGTCTAATCTTCCTTGTGTAAAACAGAAGTGCTGCTAGCTCTGCTAAGACGTCATCCTGGTTTGGCAACGAGCAGAGTTTTATGGTGACAATAACGAATCCCTTTTGAGCTTGCTGGCTGAAATACCTTCTGCATTTCGGAGTGGGACTCGACTAAGATTCTGGCACTGGCAGCAGTTACTTTATTCAGGTTCTATTCGTACTATTTTCTTGTTATCACCGCGATAGTATTTATGTGCTTTCAGGAGATAGTAATGAAAGAGGGTAATGGGTATAAAATAGGTGAAATCAGCAGGATCTCCTTCTTTGGTATCAAAATCAAGCTAGTATATAGAACTTAGGAATATTCATATAGAGAGAACAACAAGCTAGCACTACATAGACCTAATATCTTGTAGTAACATTAGTAAAATTACCATTAAAATCATCAGAACCCACAAGGTTAAATAGTTTTTAGAGAATGATGATAGCCAAATCTATAGTTTTGAATGAATGAAATGAATCTTTAATAGGACATCTAAATGAATAACTCAAGAAAACAAATGATAGAAAATGAAGTGAAAGCATGTACTTCTGAAAGGGTTGTATGTGAATACCTAATTACCTTGTTTTTTTCTTGTGAAGTCATGCATGCAAAATTAGAGATCAGGTTGGCAGACATTGAAAAGTCTCTTCTTGTAGCCCAATCGTCAGCTACATCACCCTCGAGGCAATCACCAGAGCCTGCTAGTGGGTTAACATGGGAGTACTGTACACGTTTAGTAAACTGTGTTGCATCCTTGTCTGTCCAAAATGGCTTGTTACACCGATCTATAGCTGTATGAATCACGTCGGTAAGTACTTTTTTAATACTGTATGTAACATGACATGATTGGCCTCGGTCACACAAAATTAAGGGAAAAATTCATTTTTTTGGGATAACCGCGGTGTCCGGGCCAGCTTGCGCGCACCTCGACTAATTTCACGGGATACCTACCACCTGCCACCTACCATCAGCAACAGGTACCAGGTAACTCTATCCACCAAGACTTGGAAATTTCATATTTTCCCCCCTAAACTTTCCCCGAAAAATAATTTACACACTGAAATTTTACGAGCAACTTCTTACCTCATATTCTTGTCCGAAGTGGAATTATTCCTCCTTGACTGATGACATGACAAAGTGTAAATACCTTCTTTGAAGCGTTTGAAAGGCAGGAAAAATGCTAAAAATGGACTAAATTTGTCCATGTATCATTTTCCAATTGGTTGTTATACAACTAATTATACTGGACTTAGAAATTTCATTTCTTTTTTTTATTTTTTTCTAAATCTTTTCCCTTTACTTTGTTTTTTCTCTTTCTCTTTCTTCCTTATCTCTAAACACACTTGAACCTCCAATGCTACCACTACCATTACCTCCTCGTTCATGCGCTCCTCTCCTCCTCCACTTTCACCACTTCATTTTGGCCTTTATATCTTGTTTATTTATTTGGTGCAACATGGCTATTGCAAATGACATTGAGGTCATGATTGACTTTTTGAGCTCATTACAAAACTCGTAATATAGTCTACT